AAGGACAAGAGCAGAGCTCTGAAGCCAAGCAACTCAGGATCAGTTTCAGCTCTGTTTCTTATTAGCTGTATAACTTGAGGAAATTCCTCAATTCAATTTCTCCTTTTATAGAATAGAGACAACTATATACAACTCAGAGTGTGCTTGTGAGAATTAAATGACTCAAAATACACTTAAACCCACACAGGGCACAGAAAATGCTACACAAATGATTGCTGTTATTAATTCATTAAATTCAACCACTGGATATGTTACTTTGTTTAGGAAGCTGAAAATATTTAATTTGGATACATTTTTCTAAAACTGGATAGATTTAAGCAGATGGGAATAAATATAGAAAATAAAATATGCTGTGTTGTTTTATTTTAAAAATAGGAGGCTAGGGAGATAGCTTGGCAGTCTAAGTTACACCTGGCAAGCACAAGGACCTGGGTTTGATATGAGGCACTACATGCTGTGCCAGCCCCAGAACCAGGAGTGCACCTTGCCAGCCACCAAAACTAAGTGTGGTGTCACATGCCTGTAATCCCAGTGCTGGGGAGGCTGAGACAAGAGGATCACTATGAGTTAGAGCTGTGGAGCAAGAACTTTACCAAATAAATAAATAAATATTTTACAAATAATATAGGAGAAAGGCTTTCCTGGAAAAGAAATGAATGAGGAGAAAGATAAGCTTATTCTGATTTAAGCATGACGTGATATGTGCAAACATCAAATCAACACAAGATTCCATAAATGTATGAAAATTTTGTGTGCCTAAAAAAAAGATAAATGGTACAGATAGAAGAAAGCAGCTGAGCTCCAGGGCTGGCTCTGCCTATGGCATGTGACTCCTGGGCTTGAGGCCCCCCCCCTCCGCTGGGTTGCTTCCCTCTTGGAGCAGGTGTGCTCTGGTGATGAAGTCCTGGACCATTAAGGAAGCCAGCTCCTACCCCAGAAATGCACCTGACCCTAGCAGAATGTCCCTGGGTGGAGTTGGGTCTCAGAGTGCTGACCACAGCCGAGGGCATGGTGCAAGTTCGCCCTGTGTCTGAGGTTCACCTTTCGCTGCTTTGCTGCTCTCTGGAAATGAGCAGTTGTGTATTGGTGACTCTTGCATGGACAGCGAGAGCAAGGCAGGATTTCTCCCTGTATCTATAGTACAGGGGATATTTATAATAACTTCAAGGTAGGTCATAGTTTTACCAAATGTGAAATTAGTGATGAGCAGAGGCCTGGTGTGTGCAGGAGGAGGAAACAGAGATACACTCCTAACTCTGAGGAAATTCTCGCTGAGTTATTGGAAGCATCCCTCAATAAGAAAGCAACATATATTTTTGTTTTCATAATTGACCTAAATGAAAGGAAATATACATGACATTAGGGGAGAAGGGACAGATACGTGGCATTAGGAGAATTATATATGTATATACACAGATAGGGAAAGATACGTATGTTGTATTCTTAGAGACCTGGTTTTAAGTTATGATCACTACTTAAATATAATGTCTTTAGCAGGTAGATTGATTTTTCCAATCTGTGAGCTATGGTCAATAATTGTATCTTCTTTGAGGAGCTTGACCAGAATCATGGACTCTCTGGGGAATGGGAGAAGCTAAGTCGCTATTCTTTTCTAGTCATCCTGCTTGCCAAATGCTAAGAACAGAGGTCATCTTCTGTATTTTGTCTTTGTGCACACAGAATCCCCACATCCTACAGAGGAGTTGCGAACACGATGATATGTTAAGGATTGTTTGTGGCAGGCAGGAGTAAGTCTTCTGATCCTCATGATCCCAGGAGACATGCCTAACTTTATTCTAGAGGAGGAAATTTTGACACAGATAATGCTAATGTCAGAGGTCACCCAGATACTGAATTTTGAACTCAGGACTGAAACACATACCCTTGGGTCCAGAGTCCATGTATTCACATTCTCCAGTACACTGCTACTCGGGGGGGCTAGAGCCTATCTCCAGGGACTTTTGAGGTTCAGGATATAGGCTGTTATGAATGCCAGATGGACCCAGTACTGCCAGACATGCTACACTCTTCTTTTGGCATAGGAAGTTTCAGGCTAAATGAAGCTAAATCTGCTAACCTTGAGGAGAGCAGCGCTGTGCTTATTTTCACTTGATTGTGTCTTCTCTTGAAGGCAATTCCTGGGGACAAGGACATAACCACCTCTCAGGACAGAGACAGAAATGTAGTGCTGCAACCTTACTAGCATGACATGGGTCAGTCTGAATGCTGTTTCTCACCTTGAATTGAAATTTCATTAAATGAATGCATGCATGGACAAAATCTGAATTAAAAAATATTTATTAGTATTGTGACTATCAAAATGCACTTCAAAAACAAAGAAGGCTGAGGCAGGGTGGGTAGAGTGGTGATTTCCAGGGGTTATTATTCCATGCTCACAGAGGGGCAGGCCAGAGCTGGTGAGAGCTGGACACTGACTCTGTCAGGATCCAAGCTGGATGGAGGAGCTGTAGAAATTATGGGGTAAAGGGTCTCAGGCACCTTGGGCTGTGTCGTGTTGTGATAGCATGAAGTTGTGGAGTTTGCCTGCTGTTTGGGAAACTTGCTCTATATGTCCACGTGGCCTTAAGGAGGCTGCTCCAGCAGACTCTCAGCAGGTGCTGCTGGGAACAGGAAGCAGCAGGGACACCATGGGCCCGCGTGTCTCCATTTCTCAGGTGCTCTTCCTGTGCTGGCAGACAGCTGACCTTCTGCAGAGACAGAAAGTAAGGATGGTCCCGTGGAGGGCGCTCTTGAGCAGCAGCAGGAGGTAGGTGTAGTAGGCAGAGGTGCTGGTGAGCTGCAGGCCCAGCAAACCTAAAAGAAGTGGGGTCATGAATTTTACTGTGCTGTGACAACATGGGACACACAATAAGGAGATATCACAAGGTGTTGAAGTGACACCACCCACCACATCCAATTCCAAAGGTCAACATCTGCCCTGCCCACTACAATGACTAAGGGTGAGATTCAGCTTGTAACTCAACTCCATTAACAACCTTGATTGAACTGTCTAAAAGCCTCTTAATATTAAAAACATAATGTTGCATTTTCAGTGCATGCTTTAGTTTGGAATAAAAGGCACTTGTGTAGAATGTCTTTGTCCTCAAAATGTCTTTAAGTAATAGAAATAATATATAATAACCCCTGACATTTTGTATGTGAAATTTTACATTAATTGTTACAACAACCTATAAGAGAGAATGAATTGCATGTATATTTTTTCAAAAAAAGCAAATAAAATGCAGAAAAAGATGATTGACCAGATATCATGCATCTCTAAAGTGGCAGCCCCAGATTCTCACCCCAGCAATACGCTATTAGAAACACTCAGATTCTATATCTCCCAGTTCAGCTAACTAACAAGACCTACAAAGATCAGGCAGCTATACCAAGATGAGTTCTTGTTTAGGAGAATCTGACCCTTACACTTGGCACATATCAGAAGATCTAGAGCAGCAGGGCAATACAAGGATGTTTGGTGCTGTTAATTTAAATTAAGGAAGCTGGTTGGTGACAGTGGCGCACTGCTCTGTCTTTACCAAATTCCTCTTCTGGGTGGTATTATGTTATTGGGTAATTGAAGTCAAGATTCTTTGAATTTTTGCAAATAATATGGGATGTCAAGTCATGATTAGAGCCATTGACAGTGGGCTACCGTGACTGCATGAGAAGTCACAATACCAAGCTTCTCTCTATAGAAATTTCTATTTTACATGACCTCCTCCCTCTTCAGAGCTCATGCATCACTAGCCCTTGATGTAAGAAGGGAACTCCTCTGGAAATATGGTCCGACCTCCTTACTCTTCATCAGGGAGCATTACTGCCTTCTTTGCCTGATGTGGCAGTAGAAGTGTATAGCTCTGTGGACACTAGAACCAGAGGAAAGGTCAACAGTGTGGGTCTGATGATTCAGCTCAAGTTCCTGGTGTGTACGTAGAGAGTGAAAGGCAGAGTCAAGCACTGATCCTAAGCCTACCAAGTAGATCTCTGACAGACATTTATCATCTGGGCCTTAGAGCTTCAACACTGTGAGTTTCATGTAATTATTCTCAATTCATTGCTCACAAGTGATGTCACTCCCCATGTTCCTACAGCTGACCATTGAGACAGCTGAGCTGCAGCATCTGCGGCTCAGAAGCCATACGCTTCCCACCCCGCCACATGTCCATCATGTTTCACGGCATTTCCCTGGGGATTTCTTGTTCTATGACTCTATCTCAAAGGAGGAATAGAAGCCTAAGTAATTTGACTTCACAGTGTCACATAGACATATAGTTAAATGCATTCCCTTTGCTGAAGCAGTTCAGGGCATGTCACTGTATCTTTTAATTTATAGTTATGCCTTATGAAAACCAGATTTTTCTTATGATAATATGACACAACAGAAATGGACTAATTCGAAATGTCAATCTATTTGCCAATATACAACCACTTTGATTTTCCTACCATAAGTGAAGGACATACAGAATTAAGATGATTGCATGAAAACAGTGCCACAGCAGGAGACAATGACATGAAAACTTACCATTTTCACCTTTCAGCAAAGCTTCAGGATCAGTACTATTGACATCTAGAGGAAATGACAATAAGAACAGTCCAGTCAATTACTCCTGCCCATTATTTGACAGTGGGTATATGTGTGTGCATGTGTCTTATGTGTGTGCATGTGTGAAATCTGCACAGAAAACAGAAGAGATATTCAATTTTAACAAGAGGTAACCCCTGTTGTGTCATAACTACTGAGCCAGACACTGTGCTATGTGCTAAATTAGCAACTTTACTTCCCCAATGATAGGTGCATTATTGATCAGCCCTGTGTTTGAATGAAGAACTGAATTTAGAGCCCGTATGAGAAAGTCTCCTAGTATGTTGGTTATCTTTAGCAAATGGACATTTATTTTTACTTTAGAGGCTGAACATTTCAGTATGAGTCTTTCCAAAGACAGATTAAACAAGTCACGTGTCTATTTCTGTGATAAAACCTGAAGTGGGAGTTATACTTAAAAGGATGACTCCTGGGAAACGATGCCCTCACTCTGTTCTGAAATAGGCAGGGGTCTGGCTTTTCTACCTGAGGCCAGGGAAGTTTGCAGTTAAGGTAGTCAGGAGCTAAAACAAAATGCTGCACCATGAGACAAAAGCAGAGATACAAAAACTTACCAACTTTGCTTTTCTGAAAATTTTCAGGATCTGGGGTAATACTGACAACTAAAGCAAATGAGAGCAAGAAAGAGTCAATTCCTCATTCAGATGATAATATATATATATATATATATATACATATATATATCTTTCTTTCTTTCTTTCTTTCTTTCTTTCTTTCTTTCTTTCTTTCTTTCTTTCTTCTTTCTTTCTTCTAATGCAGAGACAGGAGAGCCTCCTCTTCTCCCCGCTTGGATTCAAATCTAGGACCTTGGAGACACTAGGAAAGCACTCTACCACTGACCCAAATCCCAGCCTGAGACCCTCATTAAAAATGGAAGCCTCACAGTTCCAAATATGATGATCTCATTCTATGTAATTCCTACATGCTATTTATATTGCTGATAAGAACATACTGAAGTTACTGAGGGATACATATTTTCCTTTGTTAGCAAAACTAGATTGTAATATCCAAGAATGTGCATCATTCTTCTGCATTTACAGCATCTAGTACAGTGCTTCCCACAAAGCAGGAGCTGCTCAAATCCATGATTGATTGAAAATAAAAGAAAATTGAGCTGCTTTTAGTTTTCTACATTCCACTGAAATCAGGTGTTTCTACTAAAGTGAATCTCTCTGATCCAAGAAGGGACAAAATAATCATACTTTGATCTAGTCTAATTCAAGATAGAAGAAAGCAAGCCTAATTTTCCACGTCATATGTATTTCCAATGTCACTGACTCATATGCATAGATTTTTTTCCAGAGGAGGTGTTTGTGGACATAAAGACAACAATATTCAAAAAAGATGATTCCTATCCAGTGATCATTGTTTGGCTCGGTTCTTTGCTAAATGCTCCACCTGCATCACGTTGCTTGCTTCACCAGTAACATTAAGTGAGCTGTGCTCTGGATAAACCCATGATCTGAACAAGAAATAAGGCTTAAGGAGGGAAGGTGTCTCATCCCAATGAATAGCCATGCACATTACGAGTGTCATTTAGGCAAGCTTTACATCTAAGCAGAGAAAGCAGCCCTATCTGTCCATATCATGCATGCCCCCAGTAGCTTCAGTGTGGGCATGTGAGACTTTGGAGACCAAGAATTTGTGGACACAACAACCTTAATACTAGCAAAAGCAGAAACCTACTCAATGATCATTGCTGCACCAAGCACTGGTTAAATGCTGCATTTGCATCAATTTGTTTAATTCCCTCAGTAGTATCTGAGGCATTTGTGTATGGTTCATATAATGAATGAGGAAAGAAGGGTAAGCATTATAGATAATCCATGCCCAGCGAATGTCAGACCTGAACTCAAAGGACACTATGGTGATTTAAAGGAGATAACAGCTATAAAAGTCTTTGTAAAAATGATCTTTAGAAAATTATAGAAAGTAAATAGTCAATGTACTATTTTCACCACTGTTGACACTAAGGAAAATGCTTTTCCTAGGACTTAATTATTCTTAGTTTATGGACTCTCATTATTACAATAGCTGAGCATTTTAATGAAATTCTAAGAATAGAAAGTTAGGTTAAGACTTATCTCTAGATTTCTGAATAAAACCTGAGAAAAAAAATTACACTTCTCTTGTTTGAAGAGCAAAACTAGAAAGGACTTTATATCATGCTCCCCAATGGATACAAGAATGAAGGAAATCATCGGGTAGAAATAGTTCAGAATGTATCATTGCATTCTCCGATTTAGGATAGTCTTATCCTAAGAAGAGTAATTCGTTTTGGCAACATGATACCAAGGCAAAGGCAGATTACAGTACCACATAGTCTATTCAGGGATATCCAGTTCTGATATTTTTACCTACATCCAGGGAAGTCCAGAAGCTGGATTAAAAAAAAAAGTGTGGTATTACAAGATGGAAGGAAACATACACTGAAACTTACCATCTTCTTCTTTCAAACCTGCTCCTGTGGGATTAATATTGGTGCCAACTGAAAGGAATAAGAACAAGCAATAGTCAACCATGCCTATTTTTAACAGCAGGAATGTGTATTACATATTCATATATGTATGTAGATATGTATATATAATCTGTCAGCAGAGATAATGAAGAGACAGTCATTAAAAGATAAGTTCCACAATTCCAGAAATAATTGGTCTTACTCTATAGATATCAGTAGATATTATTTTTATATTATGTTTCTGCACAGGAAAAGTTTATGTTCGTGAAGGTAACTTAGTTTTTTACTTTGAAACTGGATTATAATATCCAAGATTTTGAACTTCACGAATGTTAATTTGTCTTTCTTTCTTGACAATTGGAGTATCATAGCCATGATTACCTGCTTTTCCTCTATACAGATAGCTCCTACAGTGCCTGCTTCCAAAATAGGCGCTATGCAAATGCTCAGTCAATGGAAAACTTAAGAGAACTGGCTGTGGTACAGCCTTCAGCATGCACTGCTGACATGCAGAGATGGGAAGGTTTCTGAGGATGGGGTAGCCAAGAAGGAGGGAAGACAACAGGAAGTAAAAAATAAAATGAAAAAGAAAGCAAGTAACGAAAGCATCCTCCTCCCTACTCCCCTAAAGAGGCTGTCCAATCCCAGAACCAGCACCTGAAGGAGGCTGATCTAGAGAGATTTCCCATGTACATGTAGGCCAGTGGTCATACCTTTCCAAATCATGCTTTCTCTCAGTGCCACCTGTTCATACGTA